TAAAAATCTAAACCAAACCATAATCCAAATCCTAAATCCTAAACCAAATCCTAATCAAAATTCTAAATCTTAAACTAAATCCTAAATAAACCCTAAATCCTAAATCAAACCCTATTCCAAATCCTAAATCCTAAACCGAACCCTAAACCAAACCTTAGTAATTCCTACAACAGATTTAAACCTCAATAACTAATGAATAAACCGTTGATCTTAACTAAAATTTTTCACACTTCTAAAAAAATAAGTTAAAATAAGCATAAAATTTTTGAAAAGGATCGGAGTTATCAAATTGATGATAACCTCAAAAATGTGCTCGGGTATTGGCTGGCCTCTTTCTCCAATCTTCATGTCAATCTTCCAGAGCTAATATCTCTCCATTGCACTGTTCGATTGATTTCAAAATTCTCATTCATATAGAAAATCAAGTCTAATATCCTCTCACATAAGTTTCACTCCAATCTAGTTAGTAGATTGCAAGAAATCTTAAAAACTCCTACTAGACCTAGAATTCTACTTTCTGAGACCTTGATCCACTTAAACCTCAATATTCCTCAATTAAACCGTTAGATCAAGCTCAAATTTACAATACATATTAAACACAACTATAAAAATAAACCCACAAAATTTCACCCATAGATCTATTACAAAACTCTTGAAATCACCCAAAACGTAAACCCTATTTTATTTCATAAAATCCAAGTCATCCGAAACAAACCTTGACTTTGCAAAGCTCTTACAATGTCATAACAACTCCAAATCATCCAAAATCAATGCCCATAGAAACCCTATCCAATCTTCTATCAAATTCTACTCTTCAATCTACCAAAGAGTCCTAGAGTCATCATCGAGACTCAGTTTTGTGCCTCAGGATCTGATTTTGATCCTGATTCATAACCGGCCTTCTTCAAGTATCAGCATCTAGTTTTTTTTAGTAATTTTTACTAGAATTTATTCTTAACTTCCTCCTTAAAATATCTATATCATTTATTTTTTCAATCTATCTTATTTTGCCTTATTTTTGGTCCTACAAAGTAAGTAGAAGCTATTTTTTCTAAAAGGGCAGCATTACTACTAAAAGTTTTACTACCTTCCTATCTTTTATCCATATTTTCTACCTTTTCTTTTAACTTCGCTCTTCTATAATAAGATCCATATTATCATCTTTCACCATATAGTCATGTTACAATATGACAACATTTGTCCATCAATTTGAACATAGAAAGCCAAAGAGAGCTTTATATCCACCTTTAGAATCTTAAAAAGGATTTTCTAAAATCTTGATATAAAATGAATTCTACTATTCAATATAATACCTTTGAGCAATCCATGATCGCTATAGATATTGTCAAAAAAAACTTAGCCATTTCTTGACTTGTGATTGATTTTGTATATGGTACAAAATGTGTCATCTTGATAAAATGACCTATTATCACAAATACAGAATCATACAAACTTGAGACTAGAAGATCCATAATAAAATCCATAAGAACAAAAAACTGTGATTGTTCTAGAATAGATAATGGCTAAAGAGGTTTATAAGATTGATGGCAAGGAGTTTTAGATCTTGAATAAATATCATATGATTGTACAAAGTCTTTGACTACCTTCTATATTTAAAGCCATTAAAAATCTCTCAATATTAGCTCTAAAGTCTTATTGTATTTAAAATCTTGAGTTGCTTAAAAGTCATAATAAGCTCAAAGAACACATAATTATGCTTTGCCTTTACGAATGTATAATCATCCCTCAAAATAGAGTAAGTTGTTCTTGAATTTGAACTTGAAAGTATCATGAGATTTAAAGGAATTATTCTTGGTATCATGGATAAGAAGATTAAAATACATATTTGATTGAATTTGCTTGACAAAGGTTGAATCAAAAATCAATGTTGATTTTATTGCTTAAAGGTGAAAATACTTTGGCTTCAAGAGAATCATTATTTATTGATCAAAAGATGCATCTCTTTCTTTTGGTGTAAGATAAGAATGTCTAAAAAAGGCATCCAAAAAACCTTATGGTTTTTGGATTAATAAGTAATCTTGAAATCAAATCTCAATAAAGACATACTCTAATGATCTTGGCGATGATTCAAAACATGTGTCAATATGAAGTACTTGAGGTTCTTGTGATCTGTATATATGGTGATTGGTTTCAAGGTGCCTTGTAGATAATGACACCATTCTTGAAATGAATCCACAACTGCAAGAAGCTCTTTGTTGTGGATTTCATAATTAATCTTCATTGTTAAAAATTTATTGAAATGAAAAGCTACTAGATGGAATTTGTCACCTACTCCCATTTAAGACAATATTATATTCAAGGCAAAGTCTGATGCATCTATTTTTATGAAAAATGCTTTTGAAAAGTCAATATGATATAAGATTGGTGCAATAATAAACTCCTTCTTTAAAGCATCAAATGATACTTTGACTTCTTTACTCTATTCAAGTTTGTTTTTATAAGTCAAATATGAAAGTTAGGCTATAATTTGAAAAAAAAAAATTGATGAAGATTTGGTAGTAATTGGGAAGGCCAAAAAGCATTTCACATCTATTATTATTCTTGAAATCTTCCAATCTATGATAGTCTAGACTTTCTTCAAATCTATCATTAGCCCTTTATTAAAAATGATGCTAAGTATTGATTTTTTTTTTTCTTTCTTCAATAGAAATTATAATATCAAAAAAAATTCTTATGGTAAAATTAAATATCTTTAAAAATAAACTTTGTATGTATTCTATAATATATTATTTTGAATTATGTTGCATAAGCTATACTTTGTATGTATTCTATAATGTATTATTTTGAATTATATTGCATAAGTTGTACTTTAATTAATTTTAATAATCTAAATAAATTTGTTTCAAAATTATAAGATTATTATTATAAATATTGATATAAATTTCATATTTTTTTTCTTATCTTTATATAAGATTAATTTATATTTATACTATTGTGTATTATAAATCTTATAACAAATACCAAATAATTTAAAAAACTTTAGAGTATTTTTTAATTTTGAATGTATAAAAAAAGAATCAAATATTATTTTAATTAATAATATTTTAAAAAAATATAATTATCTATCATAAAAACTTAATTGGTTCATAGCTAAATTATAATAGAAATCTTAAACTATCATGGTTTCTTTTCTAAGTATATAATTTAGTACCTTTATATATTATACCTCAAGTTTTTATAAACTCTAAATATATATCAAAAATTTGATGATTGAATATTAATTGACAAAATATCAGTTACATAACATGATTAGAAGAACAAAATAACTCTTGAAGTTTCAGTGATTTATTTTTAGTAAATATCACAACCATCAAAGATGAAAATAGAAGAAAATTAAGAAGGAAGTGTACTAAAGACTTGAAGCAAGAACACAAAATAGTTATATATATATATATATATATATTTAAAGGTTTATTTTTAAATAAAAATAAAAATGATTATAAGTGGTGTGGCTAATGTCAAAGCCTTGGGTTATTATAAATGATGAATGGTAATTAGTTGATTCCTTCAATTATGATGAAATAACTAAAATTAGTAACAAATAAACATATGATATGTGATTTTTTAAAATCTTTTATAGTTAAAACGAATTGAATCTTTAATCTATTGTTTGAATATAGTTATAAAGCAGGATGAGAAATGGAAATATATCTTCATTTTTTTGATGAAATTTTAATACAAAACCTTACATAGAAATAAAATTTACAATAAAGTGAACTTAGTTCACATATGAACCCATCAACAAGACTTTGGTTGAATCTTGTAATCATTGATACTTTTACTTTTTACATGTCGCCAAAGGTAGCTGTAGTACTGGATGATCTATTCCTTTTCCATGCATGAAATAAACATGATTTGATATATATATATATATATATGTATATGCACAAAATACTACTGTTACCCAGTTATTTGGGTTATTAGGTGTAATATTAATTGCTTTGAAAACTTAGTGAAAGAAATAAACATGCAACAAGAAGTGGAAAAGCAAGAATTGTAAAAATAGTTTGACAATATTTGGTTTTTCTTCACTAAAGTAAAATCATATAAATTCGAAAATTCAGATTCTTTTTTCCCTTTGAGTTCAATTGTAACTGAATCTTAATCTTAACCTAACTTTAACCTAACCCAAAGCACGAGAATCACATACAAATCTAGTTTTAGCATTCAACTGCCACTGCGTTAAAATGTTGTAATAAATAAGAAAAAAGGGGTTTAGGAAATCATTCTTGAACCAAGTTTGTGAGCAGAAGTGGCTCTTCTATTGGCACTCTGGCCAAGCAATAACTGTTCACGGTGAGCTCAAAAACCTTCTAGAACGTGAGGAATCACATTTAGAAACTTCCACCAATTTATCCACAAGGGTTCTGCCAGCTAGGACCATGCACTAGATTCTGTCACACACGTCACCTAATGACGTGGACGATACTATTACGTCAGCCTTCTTTAGGGTTTATAAACTCACCCCTTCAGGCACCCATCAGGCAGTTCATGACCATCTAATTAAATTTGATGACAAACGTAAGATCAGATTGATATTATTATTATTATTATTATCATCATCATCATCGTTATTCGTTTTTATCCTTGGAGAACATTTAAGGTTTAAAACGTTTTGTGATTCTCATTAAGATTGTCATTGAATGAGAGTGCTAGTTATTTAGATCAATGTTTGACATTGAGCTTGTTCATAGGGAACTAAGCATCCAATGAGCAAAGAAAAAATTGGTCACGTAACCGAAGCTCATTGCATGCATATTTTATACCCAAAAAAAAATTCTGGTAACCATGGCAAGCTCGTAATTTTCTAAGAGATATGCAACCATTTTTGTTGAGTGAGATGGTGTTTTTAAAATCCATGTTGACAGTGTCAAATCCTGCACCACAACAAAACCATGTCGTAGGCTTCTTTCTATAGATAGACTGACTCAATTCCTGTACACATCCCTCATGATTTGTGAGCAACTTCCGAGATTGAAAGCAGTGCACAAATAGTCATGAAGTTTGTTTTGTTTTGTGAGGTAATGAGCATGACTGTCATTTTGTCGAGTGGTACAGGTAGCTGATTGTTTGTCGTGCAGGCGGCGCCACGGCACTTCAACCAACACACAGAGGGTGCCCAAATTAGAGGGCTCGACAAAAGCTGGGAGGCTACTTTCGGCAAGGTTTAATGTTGCGAATCCAGCGTGCAGATCCACGCTTGCCATTTCCGACTCCGACTCGCTGCAAGGGGATGCCGCTGAGGCAACTAGGAGGCGAATCGGATCCTTCCTCGTGCGACTCGTGGACATGGCGCAAACAAATTGCGACGAAAGGAACTGGTTGCCGCAGCTGCGGACGCAAGAGCTTGCGAGAATTCCCTATCCGCCATCCAATGAGCCACCGTTTATAGTTTTTTGGTTTCGTCTCGATTCGGGAATCGGTGCTGATTGACGTGGCGCTTCCTCTCGTCCACATACCCAACGAAAAAGGTTTCTGCCCATTTGGCAGACAGTGCTGATCGAGTTTCTAAAACTCGCTGCCCACCACTTGGTTGGCGCGTCGACGGAGTAGCTCGCAAGTTTCCAAAATTGTGCTGGTCACTTTTGTTTCGCGACGGGACGACGTTTGTAATTATCGCCTGGGGGCTGGGTGTCCCTGGGTGGTCAGGAGTTGGCCCCCATTCGGTACTGAAGGTTTGACCGTCAACGGAGCAGAGTCTCACAACGATTTCAGACGGTGAGCACGGTGAGCAGAGAGCCATCCATGATTAGGTGAAAAGGTCCTTTGCCTGTGCAAGCGCTGGAGGGGAATAGTTCCGGAAGATTTTAGCGACTTTCTGAGTGTTGAGCCTTGCACAAGGAAAAGGCTTCGATAGTGATCGACAAGATACAGACAATTAAGTCTCCGGTTCTGGTTTATAATGCAGAAGTTCGAGGAAGATTGATTCAGTGTGGGTGTGACATCAGGTGTTTAAGGCCCGCAGGCATACACGGGGTCCTGAAAGAACTTGTGTTATCCATTCGATTCCAGGGACTAGCCAGAGGAGTAGGATTATGAAAGCGGAAGCTTTTCTTCTAGTCGTTACGGGATCCGATTTGCAGGGTGCGAACAGTCTTCGAGAGCTACTGGTAGTTTTCCGCAGCTGAGATTGGGTGACGCCGAAAGAACACAAGACCTGTTTTGCACCGATTTTGAGGTGCAATTGAGCTGGAAAGGGTTTCTCTTACGACTGTCCGAGGGGATTTGAATTCGTTAGTGGACAATATTCATAACGATTCTTTAGTTGGCTGCGGACTAGAAATTGAGTATGTCCGCTCCAAGAATGGCGACACCAGGTGAATATAGTGATTATGGGAGAAATCCGTCACCATTCACTTATTCCTACAATCCTATGAACTCTTCCAGGTTTAAACTCACCATGGCCGTGATTATCATTGTCCTCATCGGAGGTTGTTTCATTCTCGGCTTCATTTCGGTCCTCATTCGCAAATGTATGACGGAGGAGAACTCTGTGAGATCTGTGGAGCAATCTCGAAGCTGGAACTCCAAAACGAGGGGGCTCGACAAGGCGACTATAGATGCGCTGCCGATTGTACATTGTAGTGATTTGGATGAGAAGGACGACCAGGAGTGCCCCGTCTGCTTGACGAACTTTGAACCTGAGGATGGCTTGCGCTTGTTGCCGGCTTGCAAGCACATTTTTCATCAAGATTGTATTGACATGTGGTTTGACTCGCATTCTACATGTCCCTTATGCCGCGCCAGCTTGAGGAATCAAGTCGGAACTGAGAATTCTAACAATGCGCCAGGTGCGTCGAGAGAGCCGGTGGGTTCGGTTCCTGAGGTTGTGGAAAACGGGGACAGCGACATCGAATTACAACCCATCAGCGATGCGCCTCAAGAAGGTAAAGTTTAACGACCGTCAATTTCGAGTTGGGTATTTTTGAAAAAAATTGCACAAAGGCTGCGCAGTCCTGAGTTTTGATTATGTCTCATTTGTGAGGGTAGTAGCACTTGCGACAGAGATCTTCACTTTTGGAGACTGTGTTTAAACCTCGTTCTCTAATAACGTTTCGCAACGTACAATGCAAGAGTGAAGAAACCAATTTCATTGCTCCCAGCAGCATGACACGAATTTCCTGGGACATTGAACTACAGATGCTCGCCGAGAAGCAGCTCCAGGAGCGACAATTTCACGAGAAGAAGAGCGTAGCAGTGCGCGAGGAACTCTATCTCGGGACTCGCAGACGTTCAAACAGGCGGCGAGGGGAGTTGTAGCACTAGAAAGAGCGGAATCGGCGGGAGTTCCAGGAGGGATACCCATCTGTAGGCGAAAGCTGCCATTGCCTCCATCGTCGACGACGGGCATTCGGCGGGCGTCATCCCTAGGAACGGACCTGATAGCATTGCGCACCATGTTGATGGGTAGTGAAACGCCGGCCTCGTATCGACTCACTGCCACCAGGTCCGCGGTGCCCAAGTCCCACGCACCATCAGCCTCATGGTTCCCGCGCCCCAGAAGCATGGATCTAGGACTCATAAGGAACCGTTACGCGCAAGGCAACCCCACCGCAACCGACATCGACAGCAGAAAGAGCTCTACAGGAGCGAGCATGAGCAAGGCCGAGACCTCAACTGTCGCATCGGAACGGTCCTGGTCAGACAGGTGGAGCTTATCCAGCATACGAAGTGCAATGTTTCCACTCAGCAGAACGACGTCAGATGTCTCATCGGGCGTGAACCACCGCTTGCCAATCTAACCCCACCATCCCACACTCTCAAAATCCCTGCTTCGCAATCCCGAAACGGCGCATTTGGCATAAAGAACCCTTCAGCTCCGTTGCAGTAGTACACAGATGTTGCGACCTACGATTCTGGCGCTTTTGTTTCCACCGCATTTGTGTCTGATTCAACGCTGCAGAATTCTTTAACTCATTGTCATTCGTAGATCACAGTGCGGCACCAGCTTCGACGGTGTACATATCACACACATTCTCGGCGTTCTGATTCTGTAGATTTCCTCTTGGTTCCGGCCAATTGGTCCATTTTTGTAGTGTAGATGGAATATACATACCGACACTGTATTCTAGGATGATTCATTCTTTACTAGTGTTATTGAATTACCATTTTGAGTTATGGTCTCTCATTGCCTTGTTCCATATTAACTGGTTTTTCTAGCTGCTTGGATCTTATTAAACTTCCCTAAGAGATGTTTGTTTGTTTGTTTGTTTGTTTCTTTTTTTCTTCTAATTTATGGTTAGAAATGGGTTTGTACGCACTTGTAACAGTGCGTTCATATCGAGAGGGGAGTGGATTTGATCCTTTTTTGAGATAGTTGTTTTTGTGTTGTTAGTTGATGAATTTTTCATATACTGTCACTTGAAAGTGATTAGTGAAGAGTATTGTTGCTTAAGTGTGTAATTTAACCATATTTTGAATCACTGAAATCATCTTTTGTAGATCACATAACTTCATGTAGCCATTAGTCATATCATGGCTGTTGAACAGTGCATCATCATATTGAACAATGTCAAGATACATATCTGAAAACAATGTTTCCAATGAGGGAAATGTTGAACACATGATCAGAGGCACAGAATATATATTTCTGTGAATTAGTACATGAGATCGATTGAACAATGGGCACATTTTCATTTGAATTCATTTTTTGATATTTTAATTAATTGAATTGTTTTGAACTAAGGCCTATATGAGGAGTTATTTCAAATTAAATGTGGTAAATTTAATTTAACTTAAATTGATAATTTTATATTTTTGAAATTAAAATGAAATTTATACGTCTTATTAAGATTTTCTTTCTTTTTCTTTTTTGATATATATATTTTTATTTATAATTATTTTTACAATTCATTGGTTCTCTAGTAAAGAACTTAATCAGAAAAAATATAATATTTTCTAAAAAACATCACATTCTTTTGAAAATATTGTTGGTGTCATGGCATCAATGTTGTGAAATTATACTTTTTTCTTACATAGTCAAAATTCAACATATTTTTTATTATAGTTTATGTACATTTAGCAAGACAGCCTTTTTCTTTACAAATGGTAATGTTGAAATTTACAATACAGAGGAAATAACAATTATTGTGATATTACCTGATGTTTCACATGATTTGATGTCATAGACTTAAAAGCATTCTAAAATGCATGATTAAAAGTTCCAACTACTCCAACACAAGATTCAAATTAGTGTTTGTAAAAAATTAAATTAGTTGAAGAATTTAGAAATTTTATTTTAACGCTTTCACAATTCTTGGTACAATTATCTATAATTTCTCTAGAACTACATAGTGTAGCAGTTATACATTACATGGAACAAAACGCCCACACAGTTTGCTACAACAAAAACTCAAAAGCATGCAGTTAAAGCTCTTAACTGCAATTTGGGGGTGTGTCCGTAGTTGAGCCCTTTTGAAAAACAAAAGTATTGGAATCTAAATTATACAGTTTGTATTCAACATAATTTCGATTATTCACTACATGCAAAGACTCAAAAACATCATAGGCACATATAAACAAAGAAAATTCTCAACCTCTGCTACAATTTTGAGATATTATTAAAATAATTACATAGAAGATATTTTATATTTTATATTTATGAAAAAAAATAAACCCATATCATGAATAAAAAATTTTAAAAAATTCAAGAAGATAAAATTAAATAAAATTAAAATCATTTCACAAACAAAAAAGTCATTAGTCACTAACTTTAACATATGCAAAATATATGTTATTACAAATATCATGGTTATATTTTTATTGCAGCATAAATTTAATTATCAAACTTCAAAAATTCAAAATAAAAATTATTATTGTAATAAATATTTTGAATATATACTTAGATATATTTATGTATTTTGTATATATATATATATATTATGAAAAGATAAAAAAAGATAAAAAAAATTAAAGCTAAATGTATTACCTTGTGGATATCATACATTTTTTTTAATATCTGAAAAATACGTACTAGCAAAAACAAGTATTGTGATATTATATGAGTTTATTCTATTTACTTGTGTTTTATTACATATTTCAATATTTTACCTCAATCTTTTAATGTCCAAAAAAATAATATTCCGTAGTTATATTCTATAATACTAAGATGTTGTGCCTCAATAATCTGCAAAAATTTAGTAGATTTTCATTTTTATATTTATATTATCTTACATTTTTTCCTTCTATGATTATGTAGATAATGCGATGTGTTAATTTAATAATAATATTATTAATAAACATTCTATAATACTCAGATGTTTTGCTTCAATAATAAAAGATTGAGGTTAAAGATCGAAATATGTAATATAATACAAGTAAATAGAATAAACTCATATAATATCACATTACTTGTTTTTGCTATTACGTATTTTTTCATTCAATAAATAATAATTTATAAAAATTAGTATGATACAAAAAATAACTGAATATACTAATAATGCAACTTCTATGTTATTTTTCAATCTTTGAAGAAAGAATAAAATAAAATAAAAAAAGTTTTATTTTTATCACAAGAATAAAATTGTTGCCCTCAAACATTCACTTGTTCACCGCATTTCATTTGCTAGTACCATATATTTACATAAAATGAAAGAAAAATACATTGCTTGTTTGTTTGTTTGTTTGTTATTTTTTTGTTATTTTTACTATAAAATACATCTTATTGATATTAAAGAAAAGAAAAGGAATAAATTATATATATATATATATATATATATATATATAGTAACAAACAAAACCGAGTACAAAATCTGAAGTGCCAACTTTCAAGAGCAATTACAGAAATTTCAATGATTGCTTTATAAATCTGAAAGTTACATGGAATAATACACACAGTCTTGTACACATGTACAAAGTTGCACATCAAATTGATAACTAAACATCCTTCTACAAAGTCAAATCAACAACTATGTCTTGTACTCAGTATTGTTCAAAGAAAATCTTCAAACTTTAATATTTAGTTCAATAACCTTTTGCTTCCAAAACAGCTGAAATCCTTCTTGGCATACTTTTGTATAGTTTCTCACAATCATTTGTATCAAAACTAGGGTAAATACTACAAACATTCTCCCACAATTCTTGAACACCTCTTGGCCTTGGAGTGACTTGGCTTAAAAGCTGTTTGAGAAGGGCCCAAAAATGTTCCATTGGATTCAAATCTGGTGTCACGGACATACATATAATTACCTATATGAATAGATAAAAGTATATAAAAGTAGATAAAAGTAGGTTAATTGTGTAATATCTTCTAGAGAAGCTTCTTAGAAGCTTCATAGACGCTGCTTTGACTTTATAGGAGTCTATAGTCGACTTTTAGGTTAGAAACTTGGTCAACAAGTTAGCCATGTGCCACACATGTTGGAAGCTTAAAGAACAAGCTAACTACGTGGTCCATCCATAGAAAACTTGCCTTGCAAGCAAAGGCATGTGGCCTAGAAAGTCAACATATATTGGAGGTCTTATAGAACATCGCCACGTGGCTTCTAGTTAGATAGTATATATAGAGGCAAGAGTGAAGCCCTCTTCACTCTTGTCAACTCCTTTCTTGCTTCTAGTCTAGTTTCAAGGGTCTCTAGTTTTCTTGTATTTTCGCAATAGCCATTCTAATTTCTTTCTTAATATACATATTTCTATTTTGTTCTATTTCTTTGAGAAAAGTCTCACTTACTTTTTAGCTTTCATCGAGTTCTTGTCCTTGACAGATTGACAAGAGTACACTTACAATATGAGAGCTTTGTCTTTTCTTGATTAAGAGTGGATTACCCCTTTTTCTTGATAAGACATAAGCGCATTAGAAGTTGCGGATTACCCTCTTTTAAACTGATATTGTTCTTAGTATTTTCTTTGTTATCAATTCCTCTCTTCTATTTGTTTTGAGCGTTGTTAGACATCTTCTCTTTTCTAAGTGCTACTATGGCAGAGCTTGTTGAAATGAAGAGTGCAATGGCACAGATGCAAGAACAATTGAGGGAGTTAATGCTTGCGATGCATCAACTCAATTTACCACCACAAGGAGCAACAAGAATGGTAGGAAGTGAAGATATAGAGATGATTGGGGCTGCTTCAACATCTGCACCAAACCATGTCCCTTCTCCCAGAATGGAACACCCTTCGAGTGTTAGAGAACCGAGAGTGGCCTTGCCCGAGAAGTTTGATGGTACCAGATCCAAGTTTCGAGGATTCATCAATCAGGTCCAATTAGTGATTGAACTTCAACCCCAGAGCTATCCAACTCCAGGGTCACAAGTTAGATTCATTGGTACACTTCTTTCAGGTTCAGCATTGTCATGGTTTTCATCTTTTCTTGAACGACGAGATCCAATATTGGATAATCTGGAGGCTTTTTTGGCGGAGTTTCGATTCATGTTTGGAGAACATGATGCAATTCGTGTTGCAACCAACAAGATCCGTATTTTGCGACAAGGCAATCGATCAGTAACATTATATGCTTCGCAATTTCGACAACTTGCAACTGATATCAAGTGGGATGATGCCGCACTTGTGAGTCAATTTCTCTACGGATTACAATATGAGGTAAAGAAATTGATGCTTAATTTACCTGATCCTCAAACATTGAGTCAAGCAATTGACTTTGCTGTGAAGTGCGACAATCGACTTTTTGAATTTTGATCCGAGAGTCGCACAAGTGGGCCTCAACGTTACTACAATTCAATGGCAACACTGACGTCTCCTCAACACATACCTTCAGAAGTAGAGGATATGCAAATTGATGCGGTACGTTTCAAACCTCTTACTGAGCAAGAAAAGTCTCGTCGTCGACAAGAAGGATTGTGCATATATTGTGGAGAACCTAAGCACACTGCTCAACATTGTCCAAAGAAGCGACGTAACTACAAAATGAGGAGTACGGCTGTCAAAGAAGACAGTATGTCAGAAAACGAGTACGTCCAGCTACAATAGGGACCGTGCGGCTAGAATCTTGTACAACTTCTAATGAAGGTCCTATCCTCTCCTCAGAACCATCTCCTTGTTTTATAATAGATGTGCGTTTAGGACCTAATAATTACAAAGCCTCTGCCTTGATAGATTCAGGAGCCTCAGCTTGTTTTTTAGATGAAGAATTTGCTAGATGTCATAGAATATCATTAATACAAAAAACTAAACCTGTACACGTAGAAGTCATAGA